CGTCGAAGAGGGCGACGTGGGCCGCCTATAGGGGCTCGCGTTCGAGTCCTGACCCCTCCGGCGACAACAAGGGATGGGGCGAGTAATCCAGAGGTCTTACAGAGGTGTGGTGTCAAGGGGTGTGGCGCCAGCGCCGAAAATTGCGACCTTATCTACGACAGCCGCACGTGCCCCGCATTCCGATTTCATCAGCGCTGGTTTTGCGTCGACCGCTACAAGCAACGTCAGAACTCCTGATCCGAACTGTCCCGAGCAAGCCCCACCTCGTGCGCCGGCCGACCTTTCACGGCCCAGCCTTGCCCCAATTCCTTCTGCGCTCTCCCTCGCCTCTTTCCGCGCTCTCGGTTTTCTTGTGCCCCGCCGGCCAGGGCAGCCGGGGCGCTCTCGGCGGGTGGGTATCCCCCTCCTCCTCCTCCTCCTCCTCCTCCTCCTCCTCGTCCTCCTCCTCCTCCTCCTCGTCCTCCTCCTCCTCCTCCTCCTCCTCTCGCTTATATCTCTGTCTCTCTCTCTCTCTCTCCCTCGCCTCTTTCCGGCGCCCTCCGCGCGGCTCTGCCTGCCAGGGCAGCCGCTGGGCTCGCCGGTGGAGCAGGCGAGCGCGCGCGTGCCCTGGGCTCCCACCTCGGCACTTCGGGAGGGCCCCCCCTGCGGAGGGCAGGAGGAAGGGGGAGGGAGGAGGAAGGGCGTGGAGGGGGGGAAGGAGGAGGAGGAGGAGAAGGACGAGGAGGAGGAGGAGGAGGAGGAGGAGGAAGGAGGAGGGGAGGAGGAGGAGGGAGGGGGGGGGAGGAAGGAGGCAGGCGGAGGAGGGAGGGAGGAGGAGGAGGAGGATGGATGAGGAGGAGGAGGAGGAGGAGGAGCAGGAGGAGGAGGAGCAGGAGGAGGAGGAGGAGAGGGATGAGGACGAGGAGGAGGAGGAGGAGCAGGAGGAGGAGGAGGTGGAGGAGGGGGGAGGAGTAGGAGGAGGGCCAGCAGCTTCCTTGTGGCCAAGCAACGCAACACGGAGGACCTGGTGTCAAGACTCATCAACGATGTTGGAATACACCCTCCCTCCAAGCTCTCCCTTCGTAGGTCCCAACGCTCCTGCAAGGGCTCATTTCCACTCGGGGAATTGCACCTGTGGGGGACATGTGTGTGTGTGTGTGTATGTGAAAATTCGGAAGCGTGCCAAAACACCAGTCTCAGGACAACAGCGTGCCAAAACGCCACGAGTTAGCCTGACAGTTGCGTCTTGGCGATCCTGAGCCGTGCCAGAACATCACTCCTGGGACTTCACTACCGCGAATCAGCGTAACTGTTGCGCTCTGAAAGTCCTGAAGCGTTCCAACACATCATTTCTGGCACGTACGCCATGATGATAGATGGAACTCTTGCACGTATTATGAACGAATGTGCGCGGCGCTAAGGCGAGAGCCACATTTTGAAAATGAACCACCCTCAATGTGTGCAGCTCTTGTAAGCTTTTAAAACGACTGTGCGCGGCGCTGAGGCGAGAACCACATGTCAAAGACTGCCCGCCCTCATTCCTTGAAGCTCTTGCAATGTTTTGAAAAGAGTGGTCGCAGCGCTAAAACGAGAGCCACATGTTGAAAACCACCCGCGCTCAATCTTTGAAGCTATTGGAATTTGCTATCCGATAACGAATGCGCGCGGCGCTACGGCGAAAGCCACATGTTGAAAACCACCCGCCCTCCATCTGTGAAACTGTTGCCAATGTCTAGGCTGCAGGGTCACAAGTCTCAGGCGAGACGCCCTGCCCACCTTTTCGACGGGCACCGGGGTGCGACAGGGAGGATTTGTTTAGAAGGGAGAGGAAGGGAGGAGGAGGAGAAGGAGGAGAAGGAGGAGGAAAAGGACGAGGAGGAGGAGGAGCAGAAGGACCAGTGCAAATCCAAGAGTCATCAACGATGTTGGAATACACCCTCCCTCCAAGCTCCCTTTCGAAAGGCCCCTTACAACGGTTCATTTCCATTGAGGGAATGACATCGCTGGCAGACAACCGTTTAAAGACCCTGAAGCATGCCAAAGCATTGTTTTCGGGTTTCCAACGCCATGGATCAACCTGACTGTTGCGTGTTAACCGTCTTGAACCGTGCTAGAACACCATTCTTGGGATTTCAACACCGCGAATCAACGTTACTGTTGCACCCGCGTAATCTTGAATCCTTACAGGACACCATTTCTGGCAAGCGGACCACGCGAATCCGTGAATGCACATGTTATGAACGAATGTGCGGGGCGCTAAGGCAAGAGCCACATTTTGAAAAGAAACCGCCCTCAATCAGCTAAATCCTTGCATGTTTCTCAAACGCATGTGCGCGGCGCTAAGCGAGAGTCACATTTGCAAACCGATGTGCCCTCAATTCGCGAAACCAAGCGAATGTGCGCGGCGCTAGGCGAGAACCACATTTTGAAAACGACCTGCCCGACATCTCTGAAGCTTCAGAATCATAAACAGTGAGGGAGCCTCAGGCAAAACGCCCAGCCCGCCCTTTCGACGGGCATCGGGGTGCGGTAGGAAGAAGTTGCTTATCAGAAAAAGGAAAGGAGGAGGACGGAGGAGGGAGGACGGAGGACGGAGGACAGAGGACGGAGGGCGGAGAAGGAGGAGGAGGAGGTGGAGGAGGAGGAGGAGGAGAAGGAGAAAGAGGAGGAGGAGCAGGGGAAGAGGAGGAGGAGGAGGAGGAGGAGGAGGAGGAGGAGGAGGAGGAGGAGAGAGGAGGAGGAGGCAGGAGTGGAGGAGGAGGAGGAGGAGGAGGAGAAGGTGGAGGAGGAAGAGGAAGAGGCGGAGGCAGAGGAGGAGAAGGAGGACGAGGAGGAGGTGGACTTGGAGAAGCAGGAGGAGGGACGAGAGGGAGGAGGAGGAGGAGGAGGAGGAGGAGGACGGAGGACGGAGGACGGAGGACGAAGGATGGAGGATGGAGGATGGAGGATTGAGGGGGAGGATGGCGGTGATGATGATGGTGATGATGATGATGCTGATGATGATGACGATGGTGATGATGATGCTGCTGCTGCTGCTGACTTGTATGATAATGCTGATACTGATGATGATGATGATGATGATGATGATGATGCTGATGATGATGATGATGATGATGATGATGATGCTGATGCTGATGCTGATGCTGATGATGATGTGTATGATGCTGCTGATGATGACGATGTTGATGCCGATGATGATGATGCTGATGATGATGATGACGATGATGATAATGTTGATGATCATGCTGCTGATGATGATGCTGCTGATGATGATGATGTCGATGACGATGATGAAGATGAGGATGAGGATGAGGATGAGGATGAGGATGAGGATGAGGATGAGGATGATGATGATGATGATGATGATGATGTTGATGTTGATGTTGATGTTGATGATGATGATGATGAAGATGATGATGATGATGATGATGATGATGATGATGATGATGATGATGATGATGATGATGATGATGATGATGATGATGATGATGATGATGATGATGATGATGATGATGATGATGATGATGATGATGATGATGATGATGATGATGATGATGATGATGATGATGAGATGGCCCCGCTCTCCAAGGGGGGGTCGAAGCCGAAGCGCTCACGCCTACCACATCTCTCCGCTGCCGTGCCACGGATGCCCGCGCTACTCTCCCACGCCGTGCCAGCGGCAGGCACCTCCGCCCTCCTGCGTCGCCATGCACCCGGACGCCTCCAGGCACCACAGGAACGGTGCCCCTCCCACGCGCCCGCGGGCGCGCTGCGCCGGCGAGGACGGGCCACTTCTGCGCACCGGGCGCGGGTCCTGCGGGCCACCCGACGGGGCGGAGCGCGTGCTCCGCGCACGGCGCGGGAAGCAGGGCACGCGGGGAGGCCGTGCTCCGGCGCCCAGCCTGCCCACCACCCACTCCATGGGTGACCGCTGGCGACCACTGGTGACCTCCTCCTCCTCCTCCTCCTCGTCCTCCTCCTCGTCCTCCTCCTCCTCCTCCCCCTCCTCTTCCTCCTCCTCCTCCTCCTCCTCCTCCTCCTCCTCCTCCTCCTCCTCCTCCTCCCTCTCCCCTTGGCCCCCTACGGGCAAACAAGGGTGACGATACGGCTGCTGCCCGCCCGATTTTCTGGGAAGGGGTCCCAGTGGCAAAGGTGCATATGATGATGATGATGATGATGATGATGATGATGATGATGATGATGATGATGATGATGATGATGATGATGATGATGATGATGATGATGATGATGGTGGTGGTGGTGGTGGTGATGATGATGATGCTGATGATGATGCTGCTGCTGATCATGATGGCGATGATGATGCTGATGATGATGATGCTGCTGATGGTGACGATGCTGCTGATGATGAGGTTTATGATGATGCTGATGATGATTATGATGCGGATGCTGATGCTGATGATGATGATGCTGACCATGCAGGTGATGATGCTGATGATGCTGATGATGCTGATGCTGATGATGAGGATGCTCATGCTGATGGTGATGATGATGCTGATGATGAAGGCGATGATGATGATGCTGATGCTGATGCTCATGATGGTGATGATGATGCTGATGATATGAGGAGGAGGAGGATGCGGAGGAGGAGGAGGCGGACGCGGACGCGGAGGAAGTGAAGGAGGAGACGGAGGATGAGTATGAGGAGGATGATGCTGATGATGATGCTGATGCTGATTATGGTGATGAAGGCGATGGTGATGAATCTGATGCTGCTGATGATGATGGTACTGATGATGATGCTGATGATGATGCTGATCATGATTATGATGGTGCTGCTGCTTATGCTGACGATGATGATTGTTCTGATGATAACGATGGTGATGATGATGATGATGATCCTTAGTATCATGGTGAGGAGGAGGTGGGGGAGAAGGAGGAGGAGGAGCATGACGGTGAATGGAGAAGGGAAAACGGAGGACGGAGGAGGAGGAGGCGGAGGAGGAGAAGGAGGAGGAGGAGGAGGAAGAGTACGAGGAGGGGAGGAGTCGGAGGGGAGGAGGAGGAGAGGAGGAGGAGGAGGAGGAGGATGAGGACGAGGAGCGGAAGACGCTGGAGGAGGACGAGGAGGAGAGGAGGACGAGGAGGAGGAGGAGGAGGACGAGGAGGAGGAGGAGGACGAGGAGGAGGACGAGGAGGAGGAGGAGGAGGAGGAGGAAGACGAGGAGGAGGAGGAGGAGGAGGAGGAGGAGGAGGAGGAGGAGGAGGGGAGGAGGGGGAGGAAGGGGGAGGGGGAGGAGCAGAAGGAGAGGAGAAGAAGGAGGAGTAGGAGGAGAAGGGGGAGGAGGAGATGAGGAAGAGGAGGAGGATGAGGAGGAGGAGGAAGAATATGACGGAGAAACGAAGGGAACGGACCGAGGAAGAGGAGGAGGAGGGAGGAGGAGGAGGAGGAGGAGGAGGAGGAGGAGGAGGAGGTGGGGCGGGGGGCGGGGAAGGCAAGAGGGTGAGGAGGGGATGGGGGGAAGGAGGGAGGCCTGGGCCGGGCTCCCTGCAGCAGGCACGCGAGAACGACCAGGGCCAGGGCGTCTGCAGCGAGGTCGCGAAGGACCACGCGGCCAGCAGACGCCTCCACCGCCCAACACTGCCCCGCCGCGCCGAGCGCACCGTGCGGCCCGCGCTCGTGCACTACAGGAGGCGGAGCAAATCAGAGACCAGCCTGCAGCATGTGCCCCACGGGAATTTCTCATCCCAAGATGGCCCCGGGATCACAGCAGCTTTGGGGCACCTGAGGACCCTCAGAGATCGATGAAGAATGTGCCCAAGTATTTCTGATCGTAAAATTTGTTTCAGCTTCTACGTATTATGTTATCCCCCCATGCGGCACACGCAGTTGCATTGGGGTGGGCCCTCGCCAGGCGACCTTTTCGCTGTCCTGCTTTAGACTTTCGGCCAGTAACTACCACTGGGTAGATTTGAGCGCGCAGGTGGTTTTAGTGTGCATGTGCAGCTCCTGGCAGCGACGGGCTCCCCCCCTCGTCCTGCTTATCCTTCTCCCCCGGTGGAGGGAGGCTCGAAGCCACACCCCCGACGCTTCGACTCTCTCAGAACGCGCCCCCCCCAGCCCCAGGACCAGCTTTGCACCCTGGGAGATTTTCGACACAGTTCCCGGGCCCGGCACGGCCTTCCAGAGGCCCAACACTGTCAACCCACGCGTGCCGTTTTCGTTTTATCACGGCGCCGCGGGGTCTGGAGAGCGGTGTTTGGGGGATGGGCGCGCTCCCCCCCAAGGAGGACCTCAGCAAGGTCTTCCGCGAGCCTCCAGGGCTGATGAGGCCCGAAGGTCTCGCGACTCGCGGCTCGCAGGCGAGCGCGGCGGGGATGGGAGCGGGTCGGAGGAGGGGGATGGGGAGGAGGAGGAGGAGGAGGAGGAGGAGGAGGAGGAGGAGGAGGAGGAGGAGATGGAGGAGGAGGAGGAGGAGGAGGAGGAGGAGGAGGAGAAGGAGGAGGAGGAGGAGGAGTTGGAGGAGGAGGAGGAGGAGGAGGAGGAGGAGAGGGAGGAGGAGGAGGAGGAGGAAGAAGAGGAGGAACAGGAGGAGGAAGAGGATGAGGATGATGATGATGATGATGATGATGATGATGATGATGATGATGATGATGATGAGGATGATCATGATGATGATGATGATGATGATGATGATGATGATGATGATGATGATGATGATGAGGAGGAGGAGGAGGAGGAGGAGGAGGAGGACCAGTGTGGAAACCCAAGAGTCATCAACGATGTTGGAATACACTCTCCCTCCAAGCTCCCTCTTCATAGGCCCCTGCAACGGTTCATTTCCATTGAGGGAACTGCCACGTTGGAAGGCAACAGCTTGAACATCCGGAAGCGTGCCAAAACATTGCTCTCGGGATTTCAACGCCACGTACCAACCTGATTGCTGCGTCTTGACGATCCAGGATCGTGCCAGAGCGCCATTTTTGGGGACTTCAACACAGCGAAGCAACATACATGTTGCGCCTGCATAATCATGAATCCTGCCAGAAACACCATTTCCTGGTGAGCTGATCACGGGAATCCGCGAAGCTCTTGCACAAGGTCTAGAACGAATGCGCGCGGCGCCGAGGCGAGAGCCGCATTGTGAAAAGGAACTGCCCTCAGCCCGTGCAGCTCTTGTACAATTGCTTAAACGACTGTGCGCGGCGAGGCGAGGGCCACATTTTGAAAACGGCCCGCCCTCAATCCGTGAAGCCCTTGCAAAGTTTCAAGACCCATGTGCGCGGCGCTAAGGCGAGAGCCACATAAAAAAACGGCCCGCCCTCAGTCCGAGAAGCTCTTGCAAATGTTCAAGACGAATGAGCGCGGCACTACGGGGAGGGCCGCATTTTGAGCACCACCCGCCCTCAACCCGTGAAACTCTTGCAGAAGTTTAAGACGAATGCGCGCGGCGCTAAGGCGAGAGCCACATTTTGAAAGCGACCCGCCCTCCGTCTGTGAAACGGTTGTCACTTGTTAAAGCTTTATAGTCATAATTGGTGAGGAAGTCTCAGGCGAAACGCTGACGCTGGTCATGCATCCTCTCCGCCCCTGCTAACATCTGCCTGGCATACTCACTTCCCGCCGCTGCCATCCGTCTGATAGCCATCATCACTGTTGGACTGTCGTAATGTACTGCCCACTGCCGCACAGGAGGAGCCAACTGCTGCCGCTATCCTCTTACATCTAGTACTTCTGCTGCAGCGCTTTCAGCTGGCGCTCCGCCACCCTCGTCAGCTCATCCTTCGGCGCTGGCCCGTCTCCATCTTCTGCCCCCTGCTTCAGGAAGGTTGCGTTCATCGCCCTCCGCAGCGATTGTGGCGTCGCCATGGGGTCCACCATCCGCTTGGTAGCCGTGGTCGCCGTCTCGAGGTCTGCCGCTGGGTTGATCTGGTACGTGATCTTCACCTTGATGTCCTGGTCGTCCGTCCCGTCCTCGCTGTACGCCTCTTTCTTCACCGCTGTGCTGCCCGCTGGGCTGTTGATCAGCCTCTTCTACTTCCCCAGCACCTCCTTGGCTGGCTCACCGCCCCCAGCGCGTCCACTACCGCCGCCGCCACATCTGGGAACGGAGCTCTTTCCCATGCCCTCGTCCTCGCAGCTGGACCTCTCTGTTATACGGCGCTCCCGCCTGCAGGCCCGCCTGGCTCACCGAGTTCACAGCACGTGTTCGTGCTCTCTGCTGCGTTGGTCCTGGCGCAGCCCCATTTTTCTGCCGTGTGATCACCGCGTCCACCAGGTCGACCCGGTCTCGTTGCGGCCGTGCGCCTGGTCCTCGTCCGCCCCCCTTCACTTTCAGGAGCTTCGGCGCCTGCCCCCCCACCCCCCCCTGTCGCCCTTGCCCCCACCAGCCGCTCCTCCTCCTCCGCTGCTCACAGACGAGACCGACGGGGGCCTCGGTGCTCCTGCACCAGGGGCACTGGTTCGCCACTGCCAGTCGGCTGAGCCGGGCCCTCTGTCCGTGCACGCACGTCTGGCGTGGCGTACGACCGCTGTATGTAGCATCTCTCCTTCCACACTCGTACTCCTCCCCGTCCTTCCCCACCAGTTTCACGTCACATGCGTGTGGCTTCCCCTCCTCCAAGATTACATCCTCATCCTTCCCTCTGCTACCTGTTGTCGTTATTCTTGCCATGCTTCCGTAGTGTACAGTGTCCGCAATACCCCAATATCTGTGCGCAGCCAGGGCTCTCGATCCGTTGCTCCCTCCTGCAGCAGTGCAATGCCTGATTGTCGTACGTCAAGCCAGCTCATGTCTTCACAGTGGCTCCTGATGTGACGCAGGTCCGGCAGAAACAGTTTCGCCCAGGGCGTGCTGTCTGGACCGATCCACCCCCTTATTTCATCAGTTGTTCAATCTATGCGGGTCGTTCCGAAGAACGCTCCGGCAACTTGTTTGTGTGCTTGGGGGTTGGTCGCCCATTTCTTGTGAATCTTGCGCCGTCGCACACGTAGCTCCCTCTTACAAGTATTTATGTTCCATTTCCGAATTACGGCACCCTTGCATAATTCTAAGTAGTCCGCACAGTGCTGTATCCAACGCGTCCGTACGCCTAGTTTCGAGCACCATTCCCGTGAGCCCAGTGAGCGCTGCCCCCTGTACAAAAGCAATAAGCATCATTATTCGTATCTCTCTCGGGGAGTCAGCACCCCAGAACGCCCCTCCCTGCCTCCACGCTCTCCTCACTGTAGCAATGCGCCTTGTAATCTCTACCCCCCATGTTACCAGTGCTGTGTAGGTATGGTCCTAGTACACGTAGCTCCCGTCCCGATTCACCTAGTAACCCACTCCTCTTGTGTCTGATCTCTCGTGTAGAAATTGTGCCCACAATAGTAAGTACATGTCCTGTCTTGGTAGGGTTGAGTCTCCAGCCGCGCCTCGTAGCGTGTTTCAGCTCTTGGCGCATTTCGTATGCAGAAGCAGCCCCCTCCCACATCGACATCTTTGTGATATCGTCCATGAGTGTTACAATCGATAGTTTCACTTCTGTTCCCATCACAGGGCACACTACCGACAGCAACCGCGAAGCACAATTGTCATCCGCCTGGACCCACTTCTGCACCACTGGGTCATAGCAGTCGTTCAAAACGCGGGGCGCTAGGCAGAAGCCCATCTGAGCCCCTGTCCCGCTAATGAGGTCGATTATTTTGTCACAACTTGGAATGCTGATTGCTTGATGCTGTATTGTGCCTAGTACAAGCATCTTGTCCCCCTCCCCCGCCTGCTGCAACACGGCCTGTTCCAAGAACCTCCGCTTAAGGCGTTGGCGCAATCAAAATTAGTTGTCACATGTGCTGCCTTGGCCTCTCTGCAACGCCATTATGCTGCCTGTCGTGTAAGGATCGCCTCCTCCCTCCCACGATGTTTTGATCCTCCGTGCGCCCAGTCTGGCCGGGCTAGTTCCTTCGATCTCTTGTGTATGCCCGAATGCCGTGCCATGCCCCAGCTGCAATAGCTATGCATCACACGCTGCCCCAGTATTCCCTCCCTTCCCTTCTCTTTGCTACTGGCAAAGCTCTGGGTCCTCAATGAATCTAGTGGCATGCAGGACCAGTAGGAACCATCTGTCCGCCTGTTCTTGGAAGTATCGCGACGCATACACTGCCGTGTTCGTTCCTACACCGTGCCGGCAGCACGCTCGAAGCACCAGAGTGGGTCCTACAACACTTCGTGCGCCTGCTGTCCTTCCTCCCTCTGCCTCCTCCCTAAGCCCTCTCCTCGTGACCACCCCATCTTTCTTACTATTGCCATGCCTTTGCTCATCCTCTGCTCTCCAACGGGGTTCAACACCGACGGGCTGGCATGCTTCAGGAAAGCCGAATGAGCCCACCACGTGGGTTCAAGATTCTCTCTCCTCCTCGTCCTCCTCCGCCTGACGTGCCGTTCTCACTGCCAGCACATCAGAAGCTCGGTCTGGCCCTCTCTCGCGTGAACACCCGGCGCCAAGATCAGTAGTGATGCCTCGCTGGGGAGAATCTCTCTCCTCCTCCTCCTCTGCCTGACGTGCCGTTCTCACTGGCAGCGCATCAGAAGCTCGGTCTGGCCCTCTCGCGTGAACACCCGGCGCCAAGATCAGCAGTGCTGCCTCGCTGGGGAGACCCCACTGTGGCCATGCGCTCCGTCGCTTGGCGTGCCCGAGATAGTGCAGCATAGCCGCCCTGTCGCTTCGCAGGAGGAGGAGGAGGAGGAGGAGGAGGAGGAGGAGGAGGAGGAGGAGGAGGAGGAAGAGGAGGAGGAGGAGGAGGAGGAGGAGGAGGAGGAGGGAGGAGGAATGGAGGAGGAGGAGGAGGAGGAGGAATTAGGAGGAGGAGGGGAGGAGGAGGAGGAGGAGGAGGAGGAGGAGGAGGGGGAGAGACGGAGGAGGAGGAGGAGGAGGAGGAGGAGGAGGAGGAGGAGGAGGAGGAGGAGGAGCAAGTACCGTAGGTGCACATCGTCATAAAGGAGCTCCTCATCGCCCTCCTCGCACCCTTGCTCGTAGTCCCTCCGCACCTTCTCCCATCCTCCTTCCGCCTCCTCGCTCATCATCCTTCCTTCCAGGGCTGGACCTAAACAGTGTTTTTTGGTGATTTCGTGGGCCGTTTTCGTTTCGACTTCGTTTTGTGGTAAAGGTGGATTCGAGACAAAAGCGAGGGAGAACGAAAACAAAACGAAAACGCAAAACACCGTTTAGGTTCAGCCCTGCTTCCTTCCTCTGGAGGCTTGCCAAGTTTCCTTGCCCAGTCGCTTGCCGTCCAGTAGCACCATTGAGCGAAGCAGTAACGCCTTTTGGGGCCCGTGCCCATTCCTCGCATACTCCACTCTGAGCCCGCGCATTTCCGCCCACCTCCCCGTCCTACAGGCCTCCCAGATCTCTCCTACCAGGTCGAGCCTCCTACTCCTCACCTCTGCTCTCCCCGTCTTCTGCAGTAGCGCACTCACCTCCCTCAGCCGCTCGCCTACCTCCTCGCACTCCTCCCTCCCTCCGGCACTCTCGTCCTCTCCTCTCCCTCCTTGTTGCTGGCAGCTGCATCCGTGCAGTTCGTCGTAGCTCCTGCTGCCACTTTGGTATGCTCCCTCGCCTGGGTGGGAACGTCGCATGTGAAGCATCCCGCACGACCTTGCCGATTCGATCCCACAACCTGTCTGGGGTCCTCCTGGCAGCTGCTGCGTTCCACTCCTCCTCGGCCACCTCCTTCGCCCCCTCCTCTATCCTCTCAAGGAGGAGGAGGAGGAGGAGGAGGAGGAGGAGGCGGAGGAGGACCAGTGTAAATCCAAAACGCGTCAACGATTGTGCAGTACAGCCTCCCTCCACGTTCCCTCTTCATGGGCCTCTCAAGGAATTCATGGTCATTATGGGAAGTGGCCCATTGGAAGACACCCGTCTGAGAATCATCAACCATGCGCAAAAGCAGCTCCTGGGACTTCAGCACCGTCGACCGTTACTGTTGCGTCCTGAGAATGCGAATCGTGCCAGAACGCCCTTCTTGGTCTATTGTTAGACTCTGGCAATCCTAGATCGTGCCAGACCACGATCTCTCGAACCTAGACCATTCGAATCGTTGAAGTCGTTGTAAGCTTTCAAGACGAAAGCGCGCGGCGCTGAGGCGAGGGCCACATTTTGAAAACGACCCGCTCTCATCCTTGCAAGTGCTGCAAGCTTTCACGATGCATTTGCGCGCCGCTAGTGCGAGAGCCACATGCTGAAAAGGGGCCGCCCTCCTTCCGTGAAGCTGCTGCACAACGTTTAAGACGAGGGCGCGCGGCGCCACGGCGAGAGCCACCTTTCGAAAAACTGCCCGCCCTCCTCCCGTAAGGCCGCTTCCGCTCTCAAGCTTCGGGGGCACAGATGGCGAGGAAGGCTCGGGCGAAACGCCCGGCCTGCCCTGTCGACATCTCTGGGGCTGCGACAGGGAGGAGATGTCTGTGTGGACAGAAAGTGCGGCGGGGGACCTCGTCCCGCCCTTCCTGCTCTCGCTTTTCCCCCCTCCCTCGTGCTCCCTGCCCCGCTCCCTCCCTGCCGGATGGCGGCCCCCCCGACGCAGGCGCACGGGACAGGCATGTGCTCGCCGTGCGCCTGGATCTTCAAGCCGCAGGCGGGGTGCCCTGAACTTTGCGAGGGGTGGGCAGGGGGGTGCAGGTCACCACCCACCAAACCGCCCCAACCCAACCCGAAGGCCTCAATTTGCCCTCCATTTCCAGTGTGGGGGGGGGGTCGGGGAACATTGAAAACACATGGACCCCGTACCTACTCAACCCGAAAGCCGAGTGAAATTCGGTTCTTCGGGTTGGGTTGGGGTGGTCTGGGAGGTAGTCATCAGGGCAGCAGGGATCTGCCAGCGAGATGTGTGCACTGCTGTCGGCTGCATCCGCGACAAGGGGCTGGCGCTTATGAGCGGCCGCCGGCGCCCCTTCCCTCACCGCCTCCTCTTGTGTCTTGTGGCGCCGCTCAGCCTTGCGTGCGCTCTCCCGCCCAAGTCGGCGTGGGAATTTGGGCAGCCCGCTCCCTGGCGGTGGCGGAGGTACCCGCCGGGAGCAGGAGGAGGGGAGGCCCAGTTGGGAAGGGCTGGAAGGAACATCATACCTTTGTCACCTTCTCTCCCTCTCCTCGTGACGATGGTGGTGACGGTGATGATGAGGAGGATGATGAGGATGAGGATGAGGATGAGGATGAGGATGATCATGACGATGAGCATGATGATGATGATGACCATGACCATGACGATGATGATGATGATGATGATGATGATGATGATGATGATGATGATGATGATGGTGATGCTGATGCTGATGCTGATGCTGATGCTGATGCTGATGATGATGATGATGACGATGACGATGATGATGATGATGATGATGATGATGATGACGATGACGATGATGCTGCTGATGATGATGCTGATGGTGGTGGTGGTGACGGTGATGATGATGCTTATGATGATCATGATGTTGGGTGATGATGTTGCGAAGTCTTAGCTGGGTCCATCTCGACCCTTCCCCAGGGCCAGCGTTTGATCTGGATCTGTGTTCTGATGGTCCTGGTAAGAGTCCCAGATTTAGAAGATTATCTCAACCTTTCCGTCGTGGTTTGGTTTGTCGACGCGACGGGTGATGGGTGCGTCGAGCGGCTATGCTGGTGTAGCATGTCGACAACATCAATAGGCTTCCGAAGGAGCGTCCGGATCGACCTGCAGGCGATCGGCGACGATGTGGAACGATAGAACGGTATGGACCATGAAATGCCGCATCGAAGTTGTCGAATAGAAGCTCTGATGGACCTCCACCTCCGCGTCGGGGGCGGGGTGCGAGGACGGCCGTCTCTGAAGGGCTGGACGGGGGTATCCAAGCATGGCAAGGCGTGGGGAACGCATGGGGTGATGCCCGAAGCGCTTGCGCTGTTGTTCCCGTACGTATGCGACCACCCTTCGTGTGATAAGTAGGTTCGGGGGAGGAGCTATATATCGTCTCACACAATCGATCTCACTATCGATCTAACTATCAATCTTACTACCGATTTCACGATCGATCTTACCATCGATCTCACTATCGCTCCCGCTATCGACCTCATTATCGATCTCACTATCTATCTCACTGTCGATCTCACTATCGATCTTACTATGGATCTTTTTATCGGTCTTACTATCGACCTCACTATCGATCTCACTATCGATCTCATTACGGGGCAGCGACGGGACACCGACGGGACACCGACGGGACACCGACGTGACACCGACGGGACAGCAACGGGACAGCGACGGGACAGCGACGGGGCACCGACGGGACACCGACGGGACACCGACGTGACGCCACGGCGGGACAACTCGGCCACCGCCCGCCCACTCGGGGATGTTCGGACAATTATCGGGCCACTCCGTAGCAATAGCGGAGTCTTTCCCCTCGCCCGCCCACGCAGTTTCACCTCGCCTGCATGCACGAGACGAACCTGAAACCGAAACCGATGTCCTTGTGGGGGGTCCTTTCCATTCCGATCTCCCCCCCCCCCAACCTCCGACACATGGATGCACACATGTCAGCATGTACGTTGTGTTGTCAATGTGCAGTGGGTTGCGTGTTTGCAAAACCATACATGCGCAGGCATGCATACATCCGTTTGCAAGTATCTGCATACATGTCGATAGGCGGAGACGGAGCCACGTAGACTTACAGAAACATGCGTACATGTAGAGACCGTCTGAGATATGGCGCCGATGTGTGCAGGTCTGCTGATGAGCGTTGCCACAGCTCTCATCCAGGTGTTTCTTCTTTATTGCAAAGTCGTCTATGCTATGCCCCACTCATGATCGCCATACCATGTCGCGTCTTCTCTTTTATCACTTTACGACAGGGTGGGTATCGCGATAAGACGTTATTTTCCCATGGGGGCTGGCGAGTCCCAGCATCTGTGTTCCATAGTTCTTCCCCGCCTGCATGCCATGACCTCCTCCCCCTCGGCCAGGGATGTCAGCGTGGCGTCTCTTGCGGATACTGCCACCTCTGCCCAGAAGGCATGCCAGCCTCTCTTGGGTCGCCTTCCTGCTCGTAGCTGATCAGCATGCTTTTGTCGATCGTGAAGTCCCTTTGCCCACTAGTGCAGGTCTTTGCGTCATCTCCCTTGTCGCGTTTCTCCTCCAGTGCGTCCTGCCTTCCTTGTCATGAAAACTGATTGTCCAGCTCTCCTATGATGTCGGGTCTGGTTCGATGTTGCTGCTGTCCTTTTGTTACGCCCTGCGTGTCCATGGCTCGTGCGGTGCGGTTCATGATGTGTTGGCGGTGTGCGAGTTGTTCTCCCATGTGCGCAAGTGTCACCATTATTGTTGCATTGCCAACGCACGCTGGAATCATGTTTCTCGGCACGCCCCAGAGATTGCATAGCGGGAGTGCCAGCGGGTCCGCCAGGGTGAAACGAACACGAAAATCTGGCAATCAGCGGGTGTTCGTTTGTACAGCTTCGGCTAGCATTGGTACCGAAGGCGTTGCGTTTGCATCCTTCAGGGTATTCTGGCGGCCTTGGAAGCCCCCTGAGCCCCCGAGGTCCTTTTGGGAACCATGGGGCACGACGCACGTGATAGGGTGTGTGAATTGGATTCTCGATAGAGCTGTCCGCGGAGTGCGTGTGTGTGTGTGTGTGTGTGTGTTTGTGTGTGTGTGTGTGGTGCGCGTCCCGCGCCCTGTCTCCGCAATTCGTGCTTTGCGCGCCCCGCCTAGCTCTTAACCGGAAGAGGCCCGCTCTCGACCCGCTGACCAAAAATGTGTGGTGCGCGTCAGATTGAAGCTCCCAGGAGCCGTCATAAAAGGGCCTGCAGATGAGCACTTGGTGCCCGAGGGATGCTTGGCATCGCTCGGACGTGTGCATTTTTCCTTCGGCGAGGACCATCGAGAAGCATCCTTGATCATTTGGCGAAAAAACACACACGAAACCGAAACAAACACAGGGAATGGACGTCCGAGCGCTTGGTGCCCGAGGGAGGTGCCGAATGGAGGCTGCCCGGCGCCGTCTCGAGAGGCCGACTCGGAACCTCTCTCTTTGGGGGCCACGGGCCACGGAGCGCCTGCGGGGCGTGCCGAGCGGGAGCCCTCGTGGGCCTGGGAGTATGTCGGGCCGGTCCCCCTACAGGGAGATGTTCGACGAAAAATGCAAAAATACCCCGCCAAAATACCCCAAGAAGGCAACAAAAATACTAACAAAATAGTTCCCAGACAATTTTGGATTATTTTGGGTTATTATTGATTAGTTTCGTTTTTTTTTGTTTTTTTTTTTTTTTTGTTTTTCCTCTTCATTTATATATATATATATATATATATATATATAATAACAATTTTCGTCGAACATCTGCCTGTAGGGGGACACGCCCGACTTGAGGCTGGGAGGGCCAACCCTTTCTGTGGCCAGAAGAGCGAAGCAATTTTCGCTCGGATTCAAAATTGTGAGGCGAGCCTGAGGGGGGAAAGGGCTCCCCCCTTACCCGAGAGCCATCACCTTTTGAGTATGCGATGGGAAGCGGGAAGCGGTAGGAGACGTGACCCGATCCCTAAACAGTGGCCGGTTCAGTGTACGACGGGAAGCGCGAAGCCATTAATCATCGTTTGGGCGGGAAGTAAAGAGGGGACTCACAGGGGGAGGGATACTCCCCATCGCCGAGCGGATAATTTTTGAGTGTCTGACAACACGCGCGATGCGATTGTCGTTTATACTCAAGAGTGGCAGTTTGAGGAGGAGAAACGCGCCGTATTGCCGACGAACAGAGAACCTTTGGGTGTTTGACGGGAGGTGCGAAGCGGTCCGCGTTTGGACTCAAAACAAAGATGGGGATTGTGAGATTTCGGACAGTTGGCGATTCGCGTGAGACATCCTCTGACATTCTAGACTTCGAAGGAGGCGTTTTCGTAATCATGTCTCTCAGGCTCCCAGAGGGGCTTACAGTGGCTCCGAAAGAGCCGCAAAAGAATCCACACTGGGTCCCATTCTGCTTCCCAGTTGATCCCTAAGCGGTCGTTTCGCGTGAGACGTCTTCCCCATATGGAGACTTCAATGGGCTTTTTTGTCAGCTTGCCCCTTGGATTCCAAGGAGAGTTTAAGTGGGCTCAAAAGGGCTCCACGCGGGTGCCAAGATAGCACACACAGGACCCAACTTGGTCCGATCCCCGAGATGGTTCAAGAGGGCTCCAGGAGGGCGCCAAGAGAGCCAACATAGGGCCCCAAGGATGCCTCCAAGGTGGTCCAGGACGTCTCGACGGGACTCCGAAAACTGCAGTTCTGCGTGGGACATCTTCTCAACACGGAGACCCTGGAAGCAAAGTTATCTGAATAGTAATGCGGTCTTGAGCATGCAGAATGCATCCTGGGCTCCAAGTGGTGTCTAAGCTTACCCAAGAGGGACGACGCGGCTATCAGTTTTGTAAACGGCCAGGCTTGTTGCTCCGACGCCAGCCTTGCTTGACCTAAGTGTACCCAACCTGTTTCTGGAGGGGCGAGGAGGAGCGAGGAGGAGGAGGAGGATGAGGAGGAGGAGGAGGAGGAGGAGGAGCACGAGCAGCGCGGAAGGCGATCGCGGCATCGGACGAGGGGAAGGGCAAAGCGAAGTGGCGAGGAGGAGCAGTGAGGACGTGGAGCGAAGACGAGGAGGAGCATGACGGGAGCGAGCGCCCCCAGGGAGCGAGCGCTCGCAGCGCCAGTCTATTCCTCCTCCTCCACCTCCTCCTGCCGCCTCGTGCGGCCCCCCCCAAGCAGGCGAGGAACCGTTCTCTTGCCAGGTGCAGTTTGCCGCGTCCTTTTCGTTGCGCCGGCGTGGATCGAAGCGATTGCCGCGTCTGCATCCTCCTCCCGCTTCTGGTGAGGAGCCGTTCTCTTCCCAGGTGCAGGGTCGCGTCGCCCGCGGCGCGCCCACGCACCGGCCCGGATGTTCTAGTCGACGCTGCTTGTTTTTCTTGGCCAGAGGTTGAGGCGCGTGGTGCGGCCCTCTTGAGCGTCGACTCGGCCCTCCTCACTCCTCCTCCTCCTCCTCCTCCTCCTCCTCCTCCTCCTCCTCCTCCTCCTCCTCCTCCTAGCTGCCGCTGCAAGCTCAGACAGCGATGCCAGCCCGCAGGCAACGCTGGAGGGCAGGGGCGGGAGCGCACACGCCCACATCTTCGGCAGGGCGCGGGGAGGGGGGGCAGGGAGGTAGCAGCATTTACGCACCATTACTTTTTCTCTTTTCATGTATGCGCATCTGCACCTACAACCCTCTCGCCAGCAACTTCTCGGAGCGAATAGAAGATATATCAGCGGAGCTCAGATCATGGGACCTCATACTGTTGAACGGCACCCAGAAGAGGGCACTCCCTGACCAAGCAGAAGAAAGACACAATCAGATCAGGCACTGGAGCATTAGTTGTGGGTACAAGAAAGGGATATTGATAAATTCCAGTCGCGGCCTAAGCTTCCTAGTCACACACCGCATACGGAGGGAAACACTACACGAGATACTTAGACCACCCGCTGGACTCCGGGGACGTGTAGCAGGCATAAGATTAAAAGATAGTAAGTACGACTTCGCAGTGTTCAATGTTTACTTTGCGGCCGTCCATGACAAGAACCACGCTGAGATAGCAACAGCAAATCACGGCATGGCTCGAAGAGCAGATGGACATGTTGCCCACGCGTACTACGATCATCATAGGAGGGGACATAAACTCGGACGTCGGCTTGTACAGAGACGGCGACGGAATGGTCGTTGTGGATCGAGGTAGACACAGTGGGCAAGTGGCGCCCAAGTTGGAAAATCAGAATGGCAAGCAGCTCAGAGAGATGTGCACGCGTAACGACCTAGCTATTTGTACTACTTTTTTTTTTTCCCACGGGCCCCACGTTCTACGGTAGCGAGGGAGGTGCCAGCAGGATCGACCATCTCCTTATCTCAGCAGGCGCACTACCAAATATTACTAACTGTGCATGCCTGCGCGGGCCAGCCAAGAGATTGCAAAGTATAAAGGCTAGAGGGCACCGCGACCATCTCCCTCTTGGCATGAAAGTTACAGTCAATTTTTACCATCACCCGAAGCCAGAACGAGAGGAGAAGGTAGACAGGGACGGGTTGATGAAGTGCCTGAGGACGGGATGGAAGAGGAGGGAGCTGTGCGAGGAGGTGGACAGAAGGCTGAAGGAGAAAGAAGCAGAGTGGTCGACCTCTCTTGATAAGCTCTGGCCAGATGAAGCTTGGGCCCTCTTCATAGATGCCGTGGGGGGAGCACTTAAGAAAGTCTTCCCAGATCAGAATAACAAAAAAGACGAAATATATGAACAAGTTAAAAAAGAGAGAATGAAGTTACTGGAACAACGTCGACAGTGTAGAGAAGGATTGCAGCCAGAGATCGACGAAGAGCAGCTTGGCAGGATCAAGCTTGAGCTGAAAGAATACGCGGCGGCGCTGAAAATGCTCACTCTGGAATAAGGACCTTGCTAGGCGTAGGGGGGAGCTCGTCCAGGAAATCTGGGAGGCCTACCAGGACAGTAATTTCCCCCTCATGCACCGTTTGAGAGTCCAGTATGCCAACAATGGAAGAGGACCCAGAACAAATACTACTATGATCCGCAGACGTACTGGGATATTGAGACCTGGCAAGCAGAACTTGGGAAGATGGCAGCGGCAGGGGGCATGTCGTGCACGCTTCTAGACTGGCAGCAGAACAGAGACATATACTACCAGTCGCACGATGACGAGCTTCTGCCTTTAGACGCATACGTCCAGTCCTGGGCGAATGAAGACAAGATCGCGATTAGGAAATACCTCTCAAGAGCCAAGAAATGGCGTGCCTATCCACCCTGGGGGTTACCTACAGAGGCGTCCCTCCTCATTGTTGACCCGAAGGTTAACATGGAAAAGCCCAGCAGCCAGAGTGAAAGATGGGAAGCCAGGAAGATCAGGGAGGCGGAGGAGAAGGAGGACCAGGAGGAGCTAGACAAGTACACCACACTTGCTAAGTTCCAGGTCGGCAGGAAGCTGTTGGGGAAGATGGGGTGGAGCATCGG